CAATTGTCACTAACATTGAGCACTACACAGGGAGGAGAATGGCATTGGTGAACACAGTGTGTTTATGGCTACTGAGTGAGTGAGCCTGTGGGTGAAGGGATGGATGGAGACAACTTCTTGGCTCTCCTCTTCTCACTCTGAGTGTTCCTATTCAGAGTAAACTCTTGTCTCTTAGCCTTAAATTCAGCATCTGAGGCCTACTCAAGAACAGTCTTGGGTTAATACAGCTTTTCTTTTTGTGGTACCGGTGATTGAGTCCAGGGGCAATTAACCATGGAGCCACAACCCCAACCCTTTTTAATTTTTTTAAATTTTGAGACAAGGCCTCACTAAGTTGCTTAGGGCCTTACTAAGATGCCGAGTCTTGCTTAGAACTTGTAATCCTCCTGCTTTAGCCTCCCAAGATACTGGGATTACAGGCATGCACCAGTGCTAATGAGCTTCTCAGAACTTCATTATCCTTACTTGTGAAATAGAGATTATTTGTGAATATTAAATAAATGAGATGAATTCCAGTTGAAAATAGTTCCACATAGATGACCATAGCATCTGCAAACAACAGTTTTATTTCTTTATTTTTTTTTAGAGAGAGAGAGAGAGAGAGAGAGAATTTTTTTAATATTTATTTTTTAGTTTTTGGCGGACACAACATCTTTGTTTGTATGTGGTGCTGAGGATCGAACCCAGGTCGCACGCATGCCAGGCAAGCACGCTACTGCTTGAGCCACATCCCCAGCCCTATTTCTTTATTTTTTAATGTTAATAATTTTGATTGTCTTCTCTTGTTGGGTTGGTGTAGATTTCCAGAACGAAGCTGAAGAATAGAGTGACCGTGGGTATTCTTATCCTGCTTTAAAACTTAGAGAAAGAACATCTAATGTTTTCCCATTACATCAGGTAGTGGTTTGTTTTAAAAACTTAGTAAACTAAATATTTTCTAATCTTTGGAATACTGAGTACAACTATACCTTGGCTTATATGACCCAGTTTTTCCTGTTACTTACAATTGATTTTCTTCTACTCTCCATTCTTGACATGTTAGAGGTTCCAGAGTCTATGGAGCCCAGCAAGGAAACGGTCTTAGGCTTTGGTTAGGGGAAATGTTGTCAGAGGCAGGCTATTTTAGGGACAGTCCTCAGCCTGGCTAATCCCAGTGATAACATTCCCTCCTCCTCCCTCCACTTCCTTTGATCAGATGGGAAACACTTTCACTTTCTTCTTCCCCAAATTCTCCTCTGGGGATCAAGATGTGCTTCAAAAATCTGAACACATGAATGAAATATTTATTTTCACCATTAAACTTTAATAAAAAGTTTACTGTAAAAAAGTATATCTAAGAGAAGTTATCCATCAATGAACATTGATGCTGTTCCCCACAACTGTTTACAAAATCTTCATTAGATGTATTCAATGAACATTGTTATGAATCCCTACTATAATAGCTGAGCACTGTGTTAAACTCTTGGGACAAAACTATGAATAAGGGCTGGGGCTGTAGCTCCGTGGTAGAGTGCCCGCCTCACACGTGTGAGGCACTGGGTTCGATCCTCAGCACCACATAAAAATAAATAAAAATAAATAAAGATACTGTGTCCAACTACAACTAAAAAAAATATATTTTTTAAAAAAAGTATAAATAAAACAAACAGCTTCTAATCTTCATGAAGTCTCCATGCTAGTTGCAGGAGAGAAACAAAAAGCTGGTAAACAAAGTTTAAACTATTTCAAATATGAAGAAAGCAAAGAGCTAACAGGGAATCAGGTAGGCTACTTTACTTGGACTGGTTGGAAAGATCCCTATCTGGAGGTGACACCAAGGTTTAGTTTTACATTCTCCCTGGTGTTAGGGATGGAAAACAGGGCTTCACACGTGCTAGGCAAGCACTCGACCGCTGAGCCTGGATGTTTTAGGTTTAGGATGAGGAGTTACTCACAGGAAGGCTGGGATAGGAGCTGGATTGTTAATTCTAGGCAGAAGAAAGGAAAAGGCCCTGATACGGATGTGAATAAAAGAGGAACTGAAGAGGAAGACACTAAGTGGCCACCAGGAAACAAACAAAACAAAATGACACGAGACCAGAAAATCAAGCTGTAGGTTGCCTATTGATAAACCAACCAGGCTCATCTATATCTTTAAGGGTTGGAAATCCTTTTTTTTTGAAGCAAATAATCCAATACAAAGATGAAACTAAGTCAGGCACTGACTGACTTACCATTTAAAACCTAGAAGGTAGTCAGGTGGTGGGTTTACAACACACAGCTGTAACCATCCAGGCTTGGATTATGGAAATAGAGAGCTGACGCTGGGGACAACCGCGTGTCCTTCCCCTCAGATACAGAACTCTTGGTTGATGGCTGATGTTTATGTAAGTCTGTGCTTTTGACCGCTTTTGATTTCCCTTCCCTCTTTTTCTGAGTAATTTCACCACAAAAATATACTGAAAAACATTCCAATTCCCTGAGTTTACTCAGGACGATTTCTGTTGAAATAGGCAGCATTCAATTCAAATTGGATACACAAACAGAATGGCAGGAGAGGGGAATTTAGTGGTTTGTAGGATTGAAAAGTACCAGGATAGATTAGAAATGGCCACGTGAAAACCTCACATAAATTTCTCTCTCCGTCTCTCCGCTCTTCCTTTTGCTGCACTGACTGCATGCAGGCCACATTTTCCATCATGTTCAGGTTTATCTTTTTGATTAGCAGTTGCTACAGAGAAAGAGGGCTTCTTTGACCTTAGCTTCTGCGTTATATGCCCGTCCCTGACCCAATTACTAGTCTGTGGGGTGTGGGAGGTGGAGACTGGCCCAGGCTGGGTTATAAGGCCAGCCCTAGAACTGGACAATGAAGAGGAAGAGGTGGGGAAGAAAGCACCCTGTTCCCCACAAAAACCCAAACGGAAGGAGAAGTAGGTGGTTAGAAGGAAAAATCAGGCTATTTTCACAAGAAAAAGTAGAATTGGATGCTGAGAGAGCCATCAAAAAGCAGTAGCCACATACTGTGATCTATTTCCTGCCTTCTGTTTGTCCATACACATGATTTTAAAAATGCCCCTACTTTCTGGGCATGGTGGTGCACACTTGTAATTCTACCTACTTGGGAGGCTGAAGCAGGAGGATTGCACATTTGAGGCCAGCCTGGATAACTTAGCGAGATACTGTCTCAAAGTAAAAGTAAAAAGGGGTGGGGATGCAGCTCAGTGGTACAGCAACCCTGCATTCAGTCCCCAGTACTGGGAGTGGAGGGAGGAAAAATCCCTACGTAATAGCATGAAATTACCCTACATATGCATGAAAATCCATCCTCTTGTGCTCCAAAGGGAGTGTACATTTTCTCATGTCTAACTTGTCTCGGTTTTTCTTGGTCCCCAGCTTCTAGTCCATGACATTTTAATGATTTTCATTCTCTCTACAGCCTGTGGCTAAACTACAAATTCAATCACTCCCTACACAGTCTGTGTAAAATGGTGGAAGGGAAAATAGGGTAACTCTTACATGAAAGCAAAGGAGAGGGTAAATAATAAGCACAGAGACTGTCCTAGAGGAAGTATCATATTCTTGCTAATTAGAAATAGCAAGAATTACCTGCCCTGAAGAGAACTTAAGTTTTCTGGCCAATTTAACTTTCAGTTTTACTCTCAGAAAGGATTCTTACTGACTCTTTCTCCATGACCCCGACTTGATGGAAATTGAGGAGGGTTCCTTTTCTTGGGAACCGAGCTGTTTTAGTCACTCACTTGATATTGTATTTCAGAAGTATGAAGTTCATCTCTGCTCTAGACCCTGGCCTGGAGTTTTAAAGACAGGCTTAGGGCTGGCTCATTCTCCAGTTTTGTGTTTAATGGTGGCCATTTTGGCCTCTGCCAGGGTGATTTGAAACGGTTGTCTGTGGGTGAGGACTAACAGATTGGCTTCTGGTGCAAGGCTGTGTCTTAGTGGATAGCTCTTTTAATTAGGGTGACCTGCTTTAGAGCAGTCATCTAGGTCTAATTATTAATAGCACCCCTATTTGCACTCAAAATTGTCCCATTTCAGACGATAAATTATATGGCCACTGTACCTAAAATGGGGTTAATTCTTCCCTTCTTCAGATAGGGACAGCACAGCAGGAGGAGTTTGATGCAGACCTGGGTGATAGTCTTCCCATTTTTAGTCCTTACCTTAACATCATTTCGGTCACTGTTTTGCAGGATGGCGATTTCAGTTCTTTGGCATGACTGGGTGTATTGGACTCTTTTTCATTTGGGGTTGCTGGTTAATAGCAGGAAGGAAAACTTATAGCCAAGCTTTCCTTTCTTTCTCTGCTTCTACATAGCCAGTTTCAATATCATCATGTGCCTTTCTTTAGATAATTTATAAAATAATAAGTAGTTTAAAGTCTCTAAAATTCTGACATTGGTCAATATCTCAAACTCTATCCCTGACATGGAGAGGTCTGACACCTTTCGTTCAGTTTCTTGGCAACCATTTCAAAGGGAATTTCAGCTCCCTAGCCTGGCACAGAGGAATCTTTTCTATTCTCACTTTTCCTCAACCCAGCCAATTGCTGGGCTGCGACATCCCACATAACAGCTATATAGAACTCTTCTAGCTACAAGTTAGAACTAACTCAAAATAGCTTAAGCCCCAAAGGGAATGTTTTGGCTCATGTAAACAAAAAGTCTAGGGGTATCTTGGTTTCAGGCATGATCAAACAATACTGTAAAGATTTGCTCGTGTGTGTTTTCCTCTGTCTCTCTTTCTCTCTCCCCGCACCCCTAGCTTCCTCAGTTCTACTTCCTGTTATATCTTATCCTGCATACGGCACTGGAAGTGGCTCATTAGCAGGTCTGGATCCTGTACCACCACTGAAATGGAGGTAGAGGATGGCTCTGCACCTCTCTGAACCACAAGGACTAAAGGTGGAAAGCCGGTTATTTATTCCTAAAGGTGAGGCTATCCAAAAGAGGAGCAATGGATACTTGCCAGGTTAAGAAAAATAACAGATGTATCACTTCTACTTGAAAACTTTAAACATGTTGGCAACTGGGCTTCTCTTCTTACGGCACCCAGTGTTCAAACAGCAGACTCTTCAGTCATGTACACAGCCTGTTGCTGATATGAGCTGCCCTAAGGAATCTTTGAGACAGTCCTTTAAAATAAATGCACATGTCTCTGATCTAGGGCTTTTCACAATCTAAATTCCAGACAGGTATGCTTGTCACCTTTGGGAAGCCCCAGGGCATGGTGGCCAGAGTTCACATTGATCAAGTCATCACGTCCATCAGCACTAGGCTGTAGAATAAGAAACACATGATTAAGGCCCTTTGCAGGGCGAAGTTCAAGCACTCCCGCCACCCACCAAAGATCCACATCTCAAAGAAGTAGGGCTGGGCTGGGGATGTGGCTCAAGCAGTAGTGCGCTCACCTGTCATGCGTGCAGCATGGGCTCCATCCTCAGCACCACATACAAACAAAGATGTTGTGTCCGCCGAGAGCTAAAAAATAAATATTAAAAAATTCAAAAAAAAGAAAATAGTTATCTATTTTACCTCAAAATGTTGAAGAAAAAATGAAAAAAAAAAAGGCAAGGGTACACTATTTGTTTAAGAATAAAATAACAATCAGTAGGCATATAAGTTGAGACTTTTCTGAAGTTGCTGTGTACTTTTCAAACCTATTGCTAAGCTGATACTCTGATACTGGGGAAGCCTGGTTCTTCCTTTCACTGACTTGTCTATTACCTTCCCCTGAGGACATGAAGGGCAGGGGAGGGCACATGACAAGGGAGAAAGGAATGTCATTTCTGTCGGTCTCAGGCTCTGCATATCTTAGCTGGGAATGTGAAGTTTATTCACTTCAATTTCAACATCCCAACAACGATCCGTTGCAGGAATTTGTTAATTCAACCAGTATTCCTTGAGCGTTAATCCCTTATCCTTTCTCCTCCGTCTTTATGTTCCTCTCTCTTAGACCTTTTCCATCAGCATTTAAATATTCCCAAGGATCTCTCATCTTAAAAGGCAAACAAATGAACCCCCCACAAACAGAAAACCTTCCTTTGATCCTAAGCTACCAATCCTTCACAACCAAATTCACACATTTCGTGTTCCTTTTTAACTGTCTGCATCTCTTCCCTCCCATTTCCACTCCCGCCACTTGGGTTCCACTCCTGCCCCATGGGAACAAATGGGCTTATGGAAAAAGCACCATTGTCCTAGAACACAAACCCTTGTATAAAGTTGTGCAGCACTTGAAAGCTATACAGTGATTGTGTGATGTCTGTCTTTTCAACTGGGGTGTAGACTCCTGGAGGGTAAGACATAGCTTGCAGTTACTCAGTGAATATCTTATTGTTGGATGTTATATGTTTACTCAGGCACAGTGCCGGGAGGAATGTGTTAAATAAATCTATGTTGAAATAATGGATTAACTGGGATTGGAAACAAAGGAGAGGCACAGATTTGGTATGGGGTGGGGATAGTGAGTAAAATTTTAACTATCCTGAGCAGAAATTAGAAATGTAGAAGGAAGCTTTTTGGTGTTAGAAGCAAGGCAGAAAATAGCTTCAATGAATACAGATCATGTAAAATGCCACAGGCACACTTACCACTTTTTCAGGTAGAGCTATTAGAGGCTATTTGTTTTGACGATGGTTATGAACTCTTTCTTGGGACAGTAGGGGAGCATCATTAGAATGTTACCAGGCTGTAAACTGTAAAGAAGCACTCATTTATAGGGGCTGGAAAAATGTAGGCATCAGGGTAAAATTAATTTATATGAGCAGTTAATAAAGTGATGAAAACTTTTGGGAAGTGGACAATCCTATCTGCATGCTTTTCATCAATTCTCCACCTTAAATTAAACCAGCCTATTTTATCTCTGTGGTTAGAGTTCTAGAAAAAGAAAACTACCATTCATCTAGTGGATAACCTTTTCTTAAAAGTAAGCTAAAATCCTCACCCAAGTGTCCTAATTCACATGGATTCACAATGTGAGATGTGCGGGTGGGAGGGTAAGGCAGGAGGATCCCAAGTTCAAAGTCAGCTTCAGCAATGTAGCAAGGTGCTAAGCAACTCAGTGAGACCCTGTCTCTAAATAAAATACAAAAAAAGGGCTAGGGATGTGGTTCAGTGGTTAAGAGCCCCTGGGTCTAATCCCTGGTACCCAAACAAACAAGCAAACAAAAACCAACCAGTTCCAGTGATTTCGGGAGGTCAGGGCAGGTAATTGTGATCTTCTGTCTGATTATTTTTCAAACACATTCTAGAGCATCCCACTTGTCCTTTCCTAGCTGGGTTCATTACATTCTGCTCTTTCTCCTTGACAGAACACAGCCTTTAATCATGTGACCACTATGTGGCCCCCTCCCTGAATTTCCCACAAGGGTTTGGATCCCAGAAATTTCAAGAAACTTGTGAAGGGCTTTCTTGATCCTCATTATGATGGAAGTGGAGTTCTTCTCTTGTCATCAAGGTCCCCATTCCTTAATTTCTCCATCCTCCAAACACACACTCAATATACCTTAGGCATCATGTCTGTTTTTATAGGATCAAGGGAGCTGAGTCTTAAAGATGAATGGAGCTAAGATTAGCAGAAAGTCCAGTACGTTCTTCATTCAACAGCACACTGGATTTTACATGTCTAAAGTTTAATTCACGTAATTTATTTTCCACCTCTTAATTCAATTGCTTTTCTTGAAAAGATGTCTGGGCCAAGGCCAACTTTGGAGGGAGGAATGTCACCGGGTCAGGATCTGGAAACAATCAGCCCTGTATGGTTTTAAGGGTGAAGCGCCAAGATCTTAAGGAACCCGAATTCCTGGTGAGCAGTCAAGTTCTTTTCTTTAATCCGCCCCCACCAGGATTCTGACGGCATAAAAAAGAAAATCTATTAAAAAAAAAAAAAGTCAACTCAAAGAGAACCCACCACAAACTTCCTCATTTCTAAAGAAAAGGCCGCTCCCACCGCAGAGCCTCCGCACACTGCGACAGCTCTGCGGCGATGTCCAACCCCGACGCTGCAGCCAGTGCTGGGAGCGCAGCTCCGGCACCACGCGTCGGCAGGCGGGTCCAGGGCACCGGGCACAGGTTAGCCCTTTCCTCCCGCACTTAGGGGAATGTATGCCTGCCTTCCAGTCCTGGGGTCCTAGCCTCGACAGGGGTACTGCTGTGGTGGCAGGAAGTCCCTGCGAACTACAAATCGAGGCATGCTGGGAACATTCCCCTGCTCCTCCCAGGAAATGTCCTTTGTCCAGCCCTACAGGAAGCCCCAGTGAGGAGTCAGCCGGGCAGCCAGCCAGTCGGCTAGCTAGTCTGCCAGCGAGCCAGCCAGCCAGCGAGCCAGCCAGCGGCTTCTGGAGCCGCCGCCGCCGCCGCAGCACAAGGGCAGTCGCGCCGCGGTGCGAGGCTCGGGCCAGGACGCTTGGTGTCCCCGCTCCTCGCCGCGCTCGCCGCAACGCAGGTAGGAGCACGGCTGTGGCTGGGCTCCCCCGCCGCCTGAGGATGGTGCTGATAGGGACCCGACCTGATCACTGCGGGGATGGGGTGTGTGCATGAGAGCTGTGGCTGAAAGGCTGGGCTAAGTCGTGTCCCCCAGATTGCACCGTTGTCCGCTCTCCTCCGGGCTAAGGGTTGCCGGGCGCACGGTGTACCCTCGCGCCTCCAGAGCCGAGGCTGAGCTCCCTCTGGGGTCTCTGGCTAGGGGCTGGGAGGAGGCTACCACGCGAGGGAGGAGGCAGCGCTGCGAGAGGGAGTCGGACCGTCCCGCCGACCACCGAAGGGGGCATCAGAGACCCTCGGAAAAACGAAGCCCAGGGAGGAGCTTGGAAGGCCAGGAGAAGGTGAAGGGCTTTGTGTGCAGCTGTGGACCGGGACGGACAGCGCTCCTCTTGCCCTGCCTGCTCGCTCCCTTAGCCCCACCGGAGGACGGCAGGGTCAGGGTGGGGGCTCCGAAAGGGGCAGCAGGTCATCTTGGGTCCTGGTGAAATGTCTTCCTCTCCTTTCTTCACCCCTCCATTTTTCCCGACTCACATTAGCGTTTTTGACTGCGCTCAGACTGGGCAAATGGCACAATAAGGACGGGTGGGTGGAGGGCTAGGCAGCAGTTCACCGCCCTAAAGGGCTCGCCATCTAGCTCTAGGAGGCTTCCCAACCACACATGGCCTTGTTGGAGGCTGGGCAATGGTGGGACCTGCACCCAGGGGACATGCCGAGGCTCAGGATTGAGTGTAGGCTTGGGTCAAGGCGTGTTGGGAGAAGTGGGCAAGTGAGAGGTTGTGGGAAAGCAGCGACACAGGGGCACTGAATGCATCTTATGGCCAGTGTCCATAATGGCCTCCAGAATTGGATTATTACTTCTGGGAGTTTCTGCATTTTCTGGTTTTCTTAACTGTTCCCCGCTGTCCCCCTCAAGTGAATCGCTTACCCCTCCACTGTGTGCTAGGCTGAATGCAATTAGGTGATGCTGTATTCCTGCTCTGTAGAAGTCTTAACCTGTGGGGTGACACACTAACTCTATATCTCCTATGGCAGTGTTATCCTAAGAGACTGAGTGTGGGAAATGTGGTGGGATAATGGCTAGCAAGTTAATGGTCTTTAAGAGCTGTGATGGATGAGTGGGTAACCCTGAACCCTGCCCAAGTATGACTGCTGCAACTGAATTTACCTCACCTAAGGAGCCTCTTTTTTCTGCCCTCCCACTTGTCTTCAAGTATTTTCCTCAGGCAAGATATTGTTATTATTTAATATGGAATACATTTTTTGTTGTTGTACTGGGGATTGAACCCAGGGCCTGTCTACCACTGAGCAATACCACCAACCCTTTTTATTTTATTTTTTTAAATTTTTAAATTTGGGGTGGGTACTGGGGATTGACCTCAGGGGCACTTGACCACTGAGCCACATCCCCAGTCCTATTTTTGTATTTCATTTAGAGACAGGGTCTCACTGAGTTGTTTAGTGCCTTGTTTTTTGCTGAGGCTGGCTTTGAACTTGTGATCCTCCTGTCTCAGCCTCCCAAGCCGCTGGGATTATAGGCGCTGGCTCCTTTTTATTTATTTTGAGACAGGGTCCTCTTAGGTTGCCCAGGATGGTGTTGAATGTGTAATCCTTCTGCCTCAGCCTCTGGAGTGGCTGGGATTACAGGTGTGCA